ATAACATGATGTTCCAAGTTATGTTGAAAGAAGTTTAGGAGTAAGAACAGAAAATTAAAGAAATGTTTCAAAATTCTAGCAGTGTAGTAATCAACTGCACCTCATAGCTTGCTAAGCATGTTTGCATTCCTTATCCCTCTGAGCCCCCGTGGCTGTGAGATGGCGTCATTCCTCCATGTCATAGCCGAGGACACCGATGCCAGGGGCCATCACTTGAAGAGTGGGCTCAGGGCAGAGCCCGGCACTGAACCCAGATGTGGTGAGAGGAGTGATGGGGAGGAGCAGGTGGCCCATGGCAGACCTCCAGTCTACCCAGAAATGACACTCCACATGGTCAATAACTCACAGAGATGGCAGCAGGGGTAAGCATGGCCCTTTTGGGTTAAATGAATTAAAATACATTAAAATATTAAGATGAAAATATATTATGCCTTGCTCAACAATAACATTAATGACAGGAGAGCTTCTTACATAGCAAGAAAAAGAATTACAGAAAGAATCAGAAAACAAAATCCAACAATTTGCTGTTTATAAGTTACAGATATATAGCAAAATATATACACAAATTTAAAAAAATAAAACATTGAGCTAAAGTCTATCATGCAAACGCGAATTCAAGAAAAGTAAGGGGCTTCAATTATGATACGTGGAAAAGAGAAGTTTAAGCTGGAAGAATTAAGAGGCAAAGAGGGTACCGAAAGGCACGGTTTTTCAATATATCACTGTTAAATATATATGCCCCAAACAACACGATACTTATTTATCGATAATTTATGCCCTGTTTCTCAAAAAGGATTTGTGAAAACTGCATGATTAACACAGCAACAAAATATATAAATGAGAAATAGAAACTAAAAGTGAAATAGAAATATATAAACAAAAAACACAAAATCAGACTATGATTACATCAGGTAAATGAGTTTTCTTAACTGTTTTGGGATCATTTTGAAGATAAGCCCATTTGAAGTTAAGGCCTTTCAAAATATGATGAATGCTACAGACCCCTCCTCCCAGAACAATTCATTCATGCACATATCCACACAGCTTTGCTTGGGCCCTAGGGATCCAAACCCCTAAAACCCCTGTATGCTCGGACCCACAGACCATAGACCCTGGGTTAAGAACTCTCAAGTAAACAAAAGTTAGACAATGCATAGATTTGAATAAAATAATCAAAAAACTTGAGTTAAATAGAACTGGTGGAATAAAAACACATTTTTTGAGAGTACACCAATACTTTATAAAAATTGATAATATATTCAGGCCCAAAGAAATTCTATGGACACTTGGCAATGTTGACACCATAGTACAGTAAGAAATAAGCAGCAATGACCTAAGCATTCATCATTTAGAAATATTTAAAAAATAACACTTGGGCCAAAAGGAAATTCCTAATACTATAACAAAAAATATCACGTCAAAACTTAGGGAGTGTAGACAGAGCTGTCACTTGAAGAAAAAAACACAGACCAAAGTATCTACATTTACTAGAAATATTAAAAATATGATCAACTATATCTAAATAATTTTAGAATTATAAAGTCCTAAGCAAAAGAAAAAAGAAGAGAGAATACATATACTTTGGCAAAACAATAGATTAGTAAACAAAATCAACAGTTGGAGTTTTATAACAATCAACGGCATCTAAGTAAACCACCGCCATCAGAAGGGAGAAATGTAAGACAAAAAAAACAAACAATGCAATTAAAAGATGACTGATTAAAATATTACCAGCGATGATCTCTCATAACTTTATACTGTTTGAGAATCTAAACAGAATGAGAGAATTTTTAAAAATATGTAATAACTTTGGGAGGCCGAGGTGGATCACTTGAGGCCAGGAGTTCAAGACCAGCCCGGGAAACACAGCAACACCCTGTCTCTACAAAAAAAATTCAAAAATTAGCCAGTCATGATTGAGCACACCTGTAGTCCCAGCTACTAGGCAGGCTGAGGCGGGAGGATCACCACTTGAGCCTAGGACTTAGAGGCTGCAGTGAGTTCTGATCAAGCCACTGTACTCCAGCCTGGGCAACAGAGCGAGACCCTGTCTCAAAAAAAAAAGTACATAATAAAACAGTGAAAGAATTTGAACAGAAGGAACTAGGCTCTGTTCATACTTCCAAAAAAGGAAAAGTACCTGGTCTTATCATGTTTATGTGAGAACCTTTAACCCTGGGGGAGGGGGTCTTAATCTCCATGTTACACACAAAGAAGAGAAGGAGAGGCAGGGAGGAAGAGGAGAAAGTGCACACTCCAAAATGTGAGAACAGCATAAAGGGGATCATGAGAGGCTAGGAGTGAATATGGAGGACATCTGGCAGGGGTGGCCTCAATTCCTTGTGGCTTACTCACAGGGGGTCACCCAGGTTGGCTGAAATAGGGTTTATGTGCAGAAAAACTCCTGACGTTTGGTTTTTAAGGAGAATGGTGACATGTGCAAAGTGACGCTTTAAAAATCAGTTTGGCTGGGATGTGCAGGAGGGACGGGGAGCAAGAGACCAAAGGCAGGCAACAGACACTCGCCTGGTGATGATGGCAGGGACGTGGGGGGAGGGGTGAAGAGGAGGTAGATCTTTCAGGGGCCCCTGCCTGATGCCACCTGCCGTCCCAGCTGCGTCTTGGCATTCTCTTCACTCCTGACAAATGCCAGGCCAGCTGCAGACAATGCTGAGGGCACCACCCAGTGGCTCCCCTGGTCGTGTGGTGGGTTCCGGGGTACCCTGGGCTGCTGGCTAAGCGTTTCACACACTCAGGTGGCAAAAACAGGCGCTGGACAGGCCGGGCGCAGTGGCTCATGCCTGTAATCCTAGCTCTCTGGGAGGCCGAGGCGGGTGGATTGTTTGAGTTCAGGAGTTCGAAACCAGCCTGAGCAAGAGCGAGACCCCGTCTCTACTAAAATTAGAAAGAAATTAATTGGACAACTAAAAATATATAGAAAAAATTAGCCGGGCATGGTGGCGCATGCCTGTAGTCCCAGCTACTCAGGAGGCTGAGGCAGGAGGATCGCTTGAGCCCAGGAGTTTGAGGTTGCTGTGAGCAAGGATGACACCACGGCACTCTAGCCCGGGCAACACAGTGAGACTCTGTCTCAAAAAAAAAAAAAAAAAAACAGGCGCTGGACAGAGGAGTAGCCAGGACTCCCACCGTGATCTCTCCAGCCCAACATTTTGAAATCTCGGGCCTACCAAGCCCCACTTACTAAGTGACAATTAGAGCTTTCCCATGTTTATTCATCAAAACTATACATGACCACCACAATGAGCTTCTGATCAGCCGTAATAACTAGCGCTACCATGATGCGTTCATGTGATTCCAGCCGTAACTTTTGGAAAAATTCAAAATATCTCAGACTGCCTCTTTCTCCACTAGCCCTGAGGATCCCGGGGTGGCAGGGGAGCCAGCACTCAAGAGATCCCTGTGGCCTGGGACAAACACTTACCAATCAGCCAGCACAGCTGACCGTCACTGCCTTAGCCCACTCTGAGGCTCCGGGGACATGGGGACTGAGACAGAAAGGCCTTCAAGCTCTGTTTAGCCAAAGCCAGCAGGGCGGGCATCAGAAGCTGTTGGGCACTTCACAAAAGCCCAGCACGAGGCGCACACTGGCTGCCGCTATAAAGCTATGATCACCTGGGGGGCTCTAACACACACCACTGTTGGGCCCCACCTCTGGGAGAGCTGCCTGAATTGGTCAGGGAAGGGGGCACAGGCAATGGTCCAGCTTACACAGCCCCCAGGTGAGTTCCAGCCAGCAGGAAGGGAGGACAGAGAAGGTCCTGGGAGTGCAGAATGACACCGCTGTGGCCGGAGGCTCGGGATGGCACCTGGGAGAAAGAGTCTGTGTGTGGGACACGGCCTCAGCAGGGGTGTGCAAGCCCGGGCTGGGCGGGACATGGACCATTCTGGGTTTCCATCCTTAGCTGCCACCCGTGACTCTTTCTCACGTGACCTCGTTCTGAATGGGAGCCTTGCCCCAACCTTAGAGGTATGTGGCCAGGTCCCCTCACTCCCACCTCCCAGGCGGGGAAATGGAGCCTGGGGGGGTCACAGGACTTGCTCAAGGTCAGGCAGGTAGGAGGGGGTGGAACCGGGACTTGAACCCAGACCTTCTGATTGGACCAACGCCTCCTCCACCAAATCACACTGCTTCCCGCATCCCCTGACATGGGCGGTGAGGCTGTCACTGCCAGACCAGGCCAGAAACGGGCCCTGCTGATGTCCAAGGCACACGTGGTCTTGGGGGCAGTGGGGCTCAGGGACGGGTTATGCCTGGAAGGCAGTAATGCCCGCTGCCCAGGCTGAGTCAGATGTCCTCTGGCCAACAGGACCACACCTCTAGCCTCCTGTGACAGAGCCATCTGATAGAAACCATCCTCATGCTAAGAGGAGCGGGCTCAGAGACCACGCCCAGGGGCTCGCCCCCTCACCCCCAGCCCCAAGAGCCATCTTTGCAGACCCTCCTTGCTCTGTTGACCTGCTCAGTTGTCTCCACCCATGCCCAACCCAGGCAGAAATTTCCATTTTGCCGCTGACGTATCTATTTTGGGAATTCATTTTTCTTCCACTGCTGTGGACTGTGAACGTGGTTTGTCTTCTGAAAGTGCCAGACGGCAGCCTGATTTCAAGAGTTAACCTGACATCTTCCTGGGTTTAACTCAGCTTTCTCCCTCTTGGCATTTGTTCTTCCTCTGCATTCTGGCAAAAGCGAAGAGAGGGCAGAATGAAGTCTCGTAGGCTTGGGAGTCAAGTGGGAGAATGGGGACTGAAGGGCAGCTCTCTGTCCTGGCGGGCTGCCCGGTCTCCCTGCCCTCCCTCCCATGCGGGAGAGCTGCTGGGCTGGGTGCCACCCGGGGTGGGGGCCTTCCTGCTGGTGGGACCCTCAGGAACACCTGGGTCAGAGGGCCTCTACTGGGCAGTGTTATCAGGGAGGTAGCCGTGGTCTTAGCCCAAAAGCGACGTGGGTGCACGCTCCGGCTGGCAAAGGCTTCTAACCTGTGGTGCAGGTTCCTCGCTCTACAGTTTCTCCCCAGCGTGGATTTTCTGATGCCGGATCAGGTGCGAGCTGCCCCTGAAGGACTTGCCGCACAGGTTGCACACGTAGGGCTTCTCTCTGGTGTGGGTCTTGTAGTGCTCGATGAGGGCTGACCGGTGCCGGAAGGCCTTGCCGCACTCACAGGCGTAGGGCTTCCTGCCGGTGTGGATGCGCTGGTGCTGGATCAGCGCCGAGCTGTGGCAGAAGGCCTTGCCGCACTGGCAGCACTCGTAGGGCTTCTCGCCCGTGTGGATGCGCTGGTGCTCGATGAGCGAGGAGCTCTGGCTGAAGGCCTTGCCGCACTTGTGGCACTTGTAGGGCTTCTCGCCCGTGTGGGTCTTGCGGTGCTCGATGAGGTTGGAGCTCTGGCTGAAGGCCTTCCCGCACTCGTCACATTTGTAAGGCTTCTTCCCGGTGTGGATCCGCTGGTGCCGGATGAGGTGCGACCTGTGACAGAAGGCTTTCCCGCAGAGATCGCACTCGTGAGGTTTCTTGAGGGTGTGGATTTTCCGGTGTTGGCTCAGGCCTGAGCTCTGGTTGAAGGATTTCCCGCATTCCTTACACTGATACGGTCTCTCTCCCGTATGGATCCTCTCGTGCTTCCTGAGGCTGGAGCTCCGGCTGAAATCTTTCCCGCACTCCCTGCACTCGTAGGGCCTTTTCCCCGTGTGGATCTTCTGGTGCTGCGTGAGCGCCGAGCTCTGGCGGAAGGCCTTCCCGCACTCGCGGCACTCGTAGGGCTTCTCCCCGGTGTGGATGATCTGATGTCTGAGGAGGTGCGAGCTCTGGCTGAAGGCCTTCCCGCACTCGCAGCACTCGTAGGGCTTCTCCCCGGTGTGGATCACCAGGTGCCGGAGGAGGTGTGAGCTCTGGCTGAAGGCCTTCCCGCACTCGCGGCACGCGTAGGGCTTGGCGGGCACAGGCATTCTGTGAGGTGCGGTAGGTCCTGAGTCCCCCCTGTCTGCCGCGTTCACACAATCGCGTGGACTGGACTCTCCTCCCCTGTGGATTATCTGACACACACTGAGGTCGGATTTCTGGAGGAAGGTTTGGCTAAATAGCTCATCATCCTGGGCTCTGGTTTCTGGGGGGAAACTTTGATGCTGAACAGGGCTTGAGCACAGACTGAAATTCCCCTCGTAATCATCACAGTCCTCGTCTTGCCCCCCAAGAGGGATCTCTTTGTAGATAACAGCCATCTGCTCCAAACCTCTCCCCTGAAGAAAAGGGTCCGCCAGGTCCTCCCCAGGGAAAAGCTCTTGCTGCATCTCTAACCTGTCCTCAAACATAAAGGTCTCGCCAAACTTGGTTGCTGGGGAAACCTCCATTGTGAATCTTGTGTCGCCCCGATGACTGTATTTCTTCAAAAATGTTCCTCTTTGGACTGTATTTACTGTTCTTACAATCTGAAAAGAAAACAAGAAATGTTGTTAAGTCGGCAAATCAAGCAGCTCTTACATGCCACCTTCCTGTGCTAGAATCTATGGTGGGAACAACCTAGTAAGGGTGAGACACAGTCTTGCCCTCCAGACGATCCCAAATGAGTTAGAGACAAGTTTCATCCACCAGAAACAACTGCAAGGCAGACAGACAGACAGACACAATTAAGTGCCACATGGTGGTGTCTGGACTCTAAGGGCTGAAGACGTTCTGGAAAGTGAGCTCACACAGGCAGTGGGAATCTCAGTGCTTTGGGAGGATCACTAGAGGCCAGGAGTTCGAGACCAGATTGAGCAACATGGCGAGTACTCGTCTGTCCAAAAAATAAAAACATTAGCCGGGCTCAGTGGTGCACACCTGTAGTCTTAGCTACTAAGGAGGCGGGAGCAGGAGGATCACTTGAGCCCAGGAGTTCGAGGCTGCAGTGAGCTATGATGACACCACTGCGCTCCAGCCTGGGAAGTAGAGCCATTGTGGAAAAGGGGCAAGGCTTGGGCTACCAGATGATCTGACATACTGGGCAGTATTTGGGGGAAAGAGAGAGCATTTCCCTCCTACACTAGGTCAAGCACACTCTGTCCAGCCGGGTGCCCAAGCCAGAGCCCTGGGAGTCAGCCTAGACCATCTCATTCTCACCCCGCCCGTCCAGTCTTGTCCACTTCCTGAGGCTTCACAGAAGGGGTCTCTGCCTCTCTGTCCTCACTGTCACTCTGCAGCTCAGGCCTCAGTCCCCTGCCAAGATTCTTTCAATATTCACCTCCTAACTAGCCACCAACCTCTAGCTTCCACCCCTTCCTCTGGCGCGTGCTGTGTACTGACACCACAGTCAAATACCCAAAACACGAGCCTGAGCATGGCGTTTCCCTCCTTAGGATCTTGAGGCCCAACTCCTTCATAAGGCCCTTCACACCAGCTCTTCCAGCCCATCTCCTGCCTCTCTCCCCCACTCTCTCCCAACCTTCCAGCTTAACTTGCGTGCACTGCTCCTGTCTTTTCCTAACAGGTCCCTCCCCTGTTCTCAGGCTGTCACTTGCTCATCCTTCTGGACTCATTCAAATGTCCCCTCTTCTCTGTACCCTCAGACTTGTGACCATCTCAGATATGCCTTGCTGGTAACCCGAGTGTACCCAGCACCTCATCACAGCCCTCCCCACCTTGGCCTGCGAGCTCCCCAGGGCAGGCACTGTGCTCCTTCATGTGGAATCTCCGGCCCCCAGCACAACAGCACAATCCCAGTGTTCAGAGTTGTTTAATAAATAATCAAATGGAGGAAAAGCCATTTCTTTGTATGCTAGAACCAATTGTCACTCTTTTTTTGCCAAAGAACACTTTATTCAAATAAATCAATTGTCCAACTCTAGGAGATGTATATAAACAACACAGACAAAAGCAGAGCTGCTCCATTTGAAGGGAGTGTTTTAGCAGGGACAAGGAAGGAGGCTAGAACACCCTACTCAGCCCAGCCCCCACCATGGTGGCCCCTTAGAACATCCCTCACAGGCCCATTCAGAAACTTCTCTAAATAAAGGCAAAGTCCTCAGGTGACATGACACTGATAGTTACAGCTCATATTTACGGAGCACCTACTATGTGCTAGGTGCTACTACATCCTTCACAGCATCTTATTTAATCCTCGAAACTCTACACAAAAGTACTATTAGCCTTCTGCTGAAGCTTAGCGAGTAACCAGCTCAAAAAACCATGGTAAATTAATCAAAATAGTCACCATGGAATTCATTCCTATTTGGAAATGATTTTTTTAAATGATTTTTCAGGCCAGGTGCTGTGGCTCAGGCCTATAATCCCAGGACTTAGGGAGGTCAAGGTGGGAGCATCACTTGAGGCCAGGAGTTTGGGACCAGCCCGAGCAACATAGCGAGACCCCCATCTCTACAAAAAATAAATAAATAATGATTTTTTTTTTTTTGGCCAGCCAATAGAAAGACCAGGTATGAAAAAAGCACAGGCTGGGCACAATGGCTCATGCCTATAATCCCAGCACTTTGGGAGGCCAAGGCAAGAGGAACGCTTGAAGCCAGGGGTTCAAGACCAGCCTGAGCAAGAGTGAGACCCTGTCTCTACAAAAAAATAGAAAAATAGCCAGGTATGGTGGTGTGCATTTGTAATCCTAGCTACTTGGGAGGCTGAAGCAGGAGGATTGCTTGAGCCCAGGAGTTCAAGGCTGCAGTGGGCAATGATGAGGCCACTGCACTCCAGCCTGGGCGACAGAGCAAAACTCTGTCTCAAAAAAAAAAAAAAAAAAGCACAGAACTAAAGTATTGTCTAAAATTCTTTGATCACTTCAGTGCCTCTTGCCCTCCCCCTTCTCTGAAGCAATTCATAATCTCCAACGCTCCCAGTTCTCTCACTTGGCCTGTGCTTTTGAACCTCAAAATGCAGCAACCCCCATTTTTACCCAGGTTCTCCTCTTCTAGTTCCACCCCTTTTCTGTCTGGCTTAGTGGGTCTAATTCTGAGTGTCACTTCAACTCTCTGACCAACATCATATTCCTTGCCCCCTTGTCCTGCTGCAACAAACCGCTAACTCCCAACCTCTCTGCCAATTCCTCCTAAGATGTTAAATGTTGCCAAGAAAAATCATGCAACTATGTATGGCAACACCATAAATTTCCAGTTTCCAGTTTCAGCTGGAACCTCAGCTCTGGCATCCAATGACCTCCTTATGGCCAAATCCCTCTCTTCCCAGTCCTTACCTTCCCACCCCATCTGGCATCACTCTCCAATACCTCCTTCTCAACATCCTTCATTTCAGAGGTTGCAAATTGGCAGCCCAGCCTGGGGATCCTGCCACAGACACGTTTTGTTTGGCTCTCAGAGAGTTGGGCTTTTCCCTTTCCTTTTACTTAGTTGGCAATATTTAAAATTCAGTTGGTTTCTAAACTTTCTCTTGAAAAACTGGAAGATGTGACAATATGGGCCCACCCTTCACTAACCCACATTGCCTACCTGGGTGCCTGAAAGCTTTGAGTTAGTCCCCACCCCCATTCCGACCCCATCTCCATCCCCAACCCCATTCTCGCGTTATTTCCTTGGTTTCTGAAAGCTTTCTTTCCAATTTGTATGCCCTCTGATTTCCTCCGTCCTGGTATCTGTGGATTGCAACTCCTCTTCTACCCACCTGTAAAACCCTGGTATTTCCAAGGTATTTCCTCCTTAGGAATTTTCCATTCCCACTATGTAGCCCCTACACGCAGAAGTCTCCACTCTGGATAAAAAGTTGGCAATCTTTTATCTGTCCCCAACAATGTGTTAAAAGTTTTGGGGCCGAAAATCCAAAGGTCTGAAACCCCATGCTTCCCACCTCTCTCGGGGCCTTTCCCAGGTCGTCCTGCATCTGTTACCCCATCCTCTAGGGAGCCCCCAGGGCCTGGGCACCGGGCAAACCCTCAGTGTGGTAAGGGTCTCTAGGCTGGAGGTCCGCAAGAAGGGCCACGGACCCGCGCGCGCTGCCCGGGAGGCAACGCGACGCCCCTAGAGGCTTCCCACCGACTCGGGACACCCACAGCCGGGGCCACAGTAGAGACAGGTAGTCAGGCGGACTCGGGTCACCCTGGCGGACCGGGGCCACTCACCTGGGCCGGGGCGGGACAGCTCACCTGGGCCGGGGCGGGGCTGCAGGCGGGCGGGGCCGCAGGCGGGAGGGGCGGGGCCGCACCTGAGCCGCTCCAACCCGCGGCCGACCCGGCCGACGCGGCCTCGCTCCGCAGCAGCTGCTGACGCGGAGCCCACAGCCGCCGGAGCGCCCGGAGCCCCGCCCCCGGCCCTCGGGCACTTCCGGGACCACTCTAGGCCGCGCGGAGGTCCCGGCGTCTCGGTGGTACCGCCGCGCCAAGTGTCGCCGCGCGTAGCAGTCCTACCCTGTGGCGCTAGTACCCGGATCGGGAAAGTCTCTCAGATCCGCACCGTGGCTCCGGCCATCGCCAAAGCGCGTCCTGGCCGTAAGGAGTACAGAGCTGGGCAGGTGTTGGCGCGAGTGCAGAGGAGGAAACGGAGGCCGGGAGGGGCGGGACGGCCTAGAGCTGCAGGCGTTCGCTGCACCTGCCCTGGGGCTGAGTGCGAGCGAGAGGCCACCGAGGCGTCTGGGGCCTTCAGGAGGAGAGGAGGGGAGTCCCCGAGCTGTCGACTCGGTCTCCTGGCACAGGCAGGGATCCTGCCTGCCCTCCCTCCCTGCCCCTGCAGAGACGTAGATGAGAAGGGGCCAGGGGAAAGCGCAGGAGGTGGCTGAGCGTGTCGGTGGGACTCTCTCAGGACCTCAGGGGCCCCTAACTCTGCGCAGCAGAGAGCTGACCCCTACGCACGAGGCGCCTCTTAAAGGCACCGGGAGGGAAGAGGAATGTGTTCCCCACTCTCAAACGTTCAACTCTGCTGCTGATGACGAGACTTACCCTGCACCCAGTGCTTGGGCGCCTGGCCCCGCAGCTCGGGTGCAGCTGCCCAGCCTGTGGGAGAGCCTCCCTCAAGAGACGTCAGCTCAGTCACAGGAAGCCAATAGAACACACTGTCCCTGGGAAGAGGGACTCTACTCCAAGCCCTCTGCCCACCTGCCTTCAGCACCTCAGCCCTGGCTCTTGCTACCCACACCATGCTACCGCCCCCCCCACACACACACACCTCTCTGCCCCAGCAGTGCTGTCAGGCCTTGGGCAGAGACTCCAAGGGGTAGGCAGGGGCTGCCCCTTCCCAGGCCAGCAGCCTGCGCTCCATGGGGTCCAGCCATCCAAGAACAATGACTGTTGGACCACAACCAGCCATGCAGAGCTGGGGGTGGCGAGGGCTGGTTCCTTTTTCTCTCCCCCCAGCTCCTCAGGTCACAGGAAGGCCAGGCCACCAGTCTCAGCCCCCTGGGGGCCAGGGGGGAGGCTGGGTCACACCCCAAGGGTCTCAGGTGCTTCCTCTTTGGCAACAATCCCCAGGTGTCCCACCCCCACACTCCCAGACCAACCACAGTCACTTTGTTTAGCCAGATCTCATGGCCCTCACAATAGCTTCTGTTGACACGTTGAATGTTATTAGCCCATTTTACAGAGGAGAGAGCAAGGCTCAGAGGAAGTTAGAGAGGGGCCCAAGGTCAGGGACAGACAGGAGGCACTCATCTCACACCCCACCCCTAGGAATCAGGGCTGAAGCCAACAGAGCAGTAGTAATCCGCATCATCCTCAGGCTGCACGGGGCTGATGGTCAGGACACAGGCATTGTGGGCTACGTCCTTGGCTGCCGAGAATCGGTGAGGGATGTCATCGGGCCGGTGGTGCTCCTCTTCCGAGTGATAGTAGAGGAGATAGCGGGGGGCGCTGCCTGCCCGCTGCTGGTACCAGGACACACCGTAGTCCTTGATGTCATGCTGGGGGCTGAGCATGCAGGACAGTTGAGCCACTTGGCCTGGGAAGACCAGCAGAGCATCCTGCTGTGCCAGCGCTGGCTGAGAGACTGAGAAACACAGACCCACTCAGGCCTGGCTTGGGCCTATCCCCTCCTTCCCCTGCCCTGTGAAGGCTTGGTCAGACTCCCACTCCCAGAGGGTCACAGCCCAGTGTGTGGGATTGGCACTGGATGAGGTGCAGGAGGCCTGGCTCTTGAGACTCAGGATACCCTCTCTGGGCCTCCATTTCCCTCTGTGAGTGAGGGGTTTGGAGTTGGCAACCCCCAAGTCCCTGTTAGTGCCATATCCCCAAGGATCCATGTTCAACTGAGGGCCCAGAGCTCAGAGGGTGGGACTGGCAGCCACTGGGTCCCCCTGCTGCCCTTTCTCTGTAGACCCTCCCCATCATACCACCTGCCAGGGGCCTTTTTGGGGTTAGGTTGCCTCTGAGGGCCTGTGGTGTGGGGATCAGCCCGCACCAGCTTCCCCTATGAAGAACTAAGAAGGAGACCCCAAAATATGAATCCAAAGGGGCCCTGGTGATCTGGTCATTCATAAATGGGGAAACCAAGGCCCACATAGGAAAGTGACTTGCCGCAGATCAGGGGCAGAACTGCGTGGAGCCAGGTCTCTCCTCCACCTCGGTCCCCCTCCCGGGACCCTCCCTACCATCCCCATCAATTTTCTTCCTTGCAAGGGCCTTCTGGGGCCAGTACTGTCCCCCACCCCACACCCAAGTGAGCCAGGCCCAGTGAGGATTCACCTGCCATGAAGGTCCCCATCAGAAGGAGGGCCAGGCACAGGCAGGCCATGACCAGAGGCAGGGAGGCAGGCGGGGAGCGGTTCTGCTGGGCTGTGCTCCAGGTGCCTGGGGGCACAGGGCTGGTGAGGCCACTGGACCACAACAGGGCATGCAAATCAGCCCAGGGACTGAGGAGGGAGGGGCTTTGACTGGGTCCAATGGCCAGGACTTATCTGCCCAAATGTCAGATCCTGGCCCCACAAGGCCTTCCGAGAACAGGAGCCCAGAAATCATGTTCAGTTGTAGCAAGGAGTTGAAATCTACTTTGTGATTGAGGTACAACTAGCATACAGTAAAATGCATAAAACATATAGCTCGACGATTATACACACACACACACACACACACACACACACACACACACACACGCATCGCCCTGCAACCTCCACCCAGATCAAGATTTAGAACATTTTTAGGGGGGTAGAGGTCTGCCAGCACCCACGGTGGGGGCTGAGTCCCACTCTTCGCCTCTTAAAAAAAAAAAAGATTTAGAACATTTTCATCACCCCAAAAGCCTCCCTCATGTTAGTAATGACCTCCACCCTCAAGGGAATCTTCATTCTGATTCTGTCACCTTCGATTAGTTTTATCTGGTGTAGAACTTCAACTATAAATGGAATAACAGTGTCCGCTTTTGTGCCTGCTTCTTTTGTTCAACGTAAGAGTCATCAATGTCTGTGCAGCAATATTGAATTCATTCCCACAGCTGTGTGTGACCCACTGTGTGACTATACCACAATTAGTTTATCCATTCTCTTGTTATTAGACATTTGGGTGCTTTCCAGTCGGCCATTACAAATAAAACTGTTATGAACGTCCCTGTCAATGTCTTTGGTGCTCCTGTTTCTGCTGGACAGACACCCAGGAATGGAACTGCCAGGAAATATCGAATGTGTTTAATTTCAGTAGATACTGCCACGGTTCCCAACATGTTTGTACCAATCTGCAATCCCTCCAGCAGGTAAGAGAGTTCCAATGACTTCAGATGCTCGCCAGCACTTGACATTGTCAGTCCCTTTAATTTGCCAGAGGACAACTGGGTGCGGTAGCTCACACTTATAATCCCAGCACTTTGGGAGGCCAAGGCAGGAGGATTGTTTGAGCCCAAGAGTTCAAGGCTGCAGTGAGCTATGATCGTGCCACTGCACTCCAGCCTACGTGACACAGCAAGACCCTGTCTCTAAAAATAAAAAAATAATAATTTGCCAGAAGGAGGTGAGCTGAGGTGGTTTTCAATTTGGGTTTGAATTCCGGCTCCTAAACTTAGCTGCATGACTTCGGCCAAGTTACTCCCCCTTCCTGCGCCTCAGTTTTCTCATCTGGAAAATGTCATTAAGCATAGTGCCAGCCCAAGGACTGTGAAGACACAACAATAGGACCTATTTGCTCAGTGTGGGGCACAGAGCGTGGATTAACTGTGTCTTTTATTTTCCGCATTCTAATGCTTTGTGATCTGGGGCCTTGCTGACCACAAAGGGACTGCCCCTCTCAGGGTTAGGCAGTCCCTGGAGATAGTAAAAAAAACCTCTTTTACCAGGTCCCCTTCACCTAATCTCCCCAGGGCCCGACAGGAGACAACCAGGGACAGCCCCTATGCCCCAGAGCTCAGCTGAAATTATTCAATCCTAAACCAGCCCACCCAGCCTTGCCCACTCCTTTGGAAACTACAATAAAGGCTCTCTCGGTCTCACGACTAACACTTGTACTTGCCCGGAAGTACGCCCACCGTGGTGTGGCACGTCCACTCTTCTTGAGAACTGTGAGTGACAAATTATCTTCTCAGTGGCAATCTGTTCTGTATTCCGATGTTGGCCTTACTATACCAATTAAAACAGTGCACTCTTGTTAATTCACAGCCTCCAGGGCTCCCGTGGAGGAGGAGATTATAAAGCCCTTCCAGGGTCCCACTGCATTCCTGACACCTACTTAGGGCATCTCCATGACACTCAAGATAAAAGACTCTCTCCTTGGTGGTGCTGAAGAGCCCCTTGGACGGCAGAATGGTGACTGTCAGAGCAGAGGCTCTAGGGACTGGAGTCTCCGGAGCTGTGTTCTGCAGGAACAGATACGGTCCCAGATACGGTGCTGCCCCAGGAGGAAAGTGCCCCGTGTTTAATAAGTTTGGGAAATGCTGCCTGTTTCCACAGTACTGACTGGAGCGCTTGCTACATCGTGGTGCTGAGCCCAGAGACAGCTTTTTAAACTGTTACCACATTTAATCCTCACAACCCTGCGGAGTCACTGTTCATACCCCCCTTTTACAGGTGGGAACACTGAGGCAGCCCAAAGGAAAGTGCTTATCCAGGGGCAGAGTGTGACAATGGTGAGCTGCATGGAGGACCCACGCTTCCTTCCACCTCACCGCCCAGAACTCTGCCTGCAAAGGGCAGGACAGACAGCCTACCCACAGCCGAATCTTGGGATGGGGAGCACTTCTTGGGGAAAAGGGAGCTGGCAAAATGATGGCAGTGGGGGGTGGGATGGCTCTATGCACCCATCTGGCACCCTGGCCACAGGGGCCTGGTGAGGGCTCACAGGGAGGGGACGGGAGACAGAAACAGAGGCAAGGCAGGGAAACAGTGTGAGACACAGAGTGCCACAGGAGGGCAGGAGGGGAGAGAGTGGGAGAGGCAGGCGAGTATGAGACAGGAACAACGGTAAGGCTGGCTAGTGGGGACCAGCTAGCGGTGAGAGCTAACAGGGAGGTACTTGTGACCTGCTATGTGTCTGGGAGGCCCAGCAACAACGAGACAGAAAGAGGATCAATGCGACCCTGTGAGGACATGCTGGAATACACGTTGGCAGTTCCCTGTAAAGTTAAATAGACACACACCCTAGGAGCCAGTAATCCCTTTCGTGATACTTACAAGCCTAGAGAAACAGAAAACTCTTCACACAAAAACCTGCAGGTGAACGTCTATACTGGCTTTATTCATCATCTCCAAAAGTTGGCAATGACCCAGAACAGCAGGTGAATGGCTCAACAAACTGCGTACATCCAAAGGGACACTCCTCAGCAGGAAGAAGGCATGGGACAACCTGGATGAATCACAAATGCATCATGCTGAGTGACAGAAGCCAGCCCACCCTGATTCCATGCAGAGGGCAACCTGGAATAGGCAGGGAGAGAAAGCAGGGCAGTGGATGCCGGGGACCAAGGGGCACAGCGGAATTTTGGGGGTGATGGCAATGTTCTGTGTATCCTATGGCGGTGGTTATATGGGATTTGTCAAAACTCAAAAACACTAAAAAGGGTGAATTTTACTATATGTAAGTTAGACCTCAATAAACGTGACTAATGAGAAAAGCAAAACAAACAAGGACAGAGAAGAGAGGAGGCGGGGGGGTAGGGAAGCGAGCACAGGAAAAGGGCCTTGAGTCGTGGGGAGCCTGCGTGGGAGGCGAGGATCCCCCTCCTTTCAGCAAGGAGCCCTGTTTCTCACTGGCAGGGGACGTGGTCTCCGGAGGCAGTCAAGGGAGCACTCCTGGACCAGGCTTGCGCCCCCACGATGGGCTGGACCACAGCCTCGCCTCGGGGAATGCCCGCCCGCTCAGGTTCGTTACCAGGATACGGGGAGGAAGGCGGTTCCTGCCTAGATGTCTCGGCGGCTCCCACTGCCATGGAGACCAGCTCGGGAGCGGGTGGCAGTAGCTCTGGCCTGGCGAGCGGCGTGAGGAAGAGGAAGCCAGGGGTCCTAGACTAGCTGCAGGGTCTGGTCTAGGCTGGTGGAGCCAAACTACAGAGGCGGCTGAGCGGAGGCCTGGCTCCCGGACCACCCGCTCTCACACGGATACATCTCCCCACAGGGCCCCGCCCCGGAGTAGCTGTCAGCTTCTGGCCCTGCCTTAGTTGGGGAATCGGGGGTTGGGGGATCAAAGCCCCCCACACCTGTCTCCTGCCCCTTGCAGCCATGTTTATCACAGTGATGTTTGGAGGTGAGTGAGGTCCCCTGTCCCAGCAGGCGCTGGGGGGATGGGCACACTTAAAGGCGCTTCCCCCTGCCCTGAGGGAGGGTGGGGAGGCAATGGCGGGAAGGAGGGGTGCAGATGGGGGCGAGGATGGGGGCGTTGGGGAAGGCACTCTGTGAGGAGGCAAAGCCTGGAGCGAGGGGAAAACCCGGGCTGAGCCCTGCCCGGGTAACTCATGCGGGCTCCTCTCAGCGAGCGCCCGCCGTGCCACCGTGGAGCACGTTTTTAAGCCGCATAACCTCTTCCATTGAATCAGTGGTCCTCAGGCTTCAGCGAGCAGCAGACCCTGGAAATTCTAGCTACCGTTGCAGTTTCCCGCCCGGGGGTCCCCATGTGCGGGGCGGGGCTGCCACGTGCGAGGACGGGGCCGGTGCGGGACGCTGGGCTGGTGCCTGAGTCTAAGTCTGCGCCCTGCAACTTACATCCCTGGTGATGGATGAAATGGTCTCCGAGGCAGTGTAAGCAGAGCTTGCCAGAGCTGTTTTGCCTGGGGCACGGTCCGAGCCCCACAGCCCTAGTCGCAACTCTGGGAAGGGGAGAGATCGGAGGGAGAGGCAGAGGACCCCAGATTGAGGGGAAAGTAAGGGATTCCACATGCTCACCTCTGCCCCTCCCCTACAGCCGGCTGCCGGGAGCTGGTGAACCCCTGGTGCAACCTGGTGACCCTCACCGCCCACCTGAGGCAGAAGGGGAGGGTCCCCCCAGATGGTGAGCAGTCAGGGAGGGGCTGGGGAGGGGTTAAGGGCCACCAGGCAGGTGTGCCAACCCTGCCCCGCCTCTCTCCATGCCTTCCCAGCAACTATCGCTCTCCTGGCTGAGGACGGGCACCTGGTGAGCCTGGACGAGGGTCTGGAGGGGGCTGCCCCAGCAGAGTCCATGGCCAGTTCCCTGCTGCAGGAGCGAGGGACCTATGTCCTTGTGCAGATCATCAGTACGTGGGGCCCAAGATTCTCCCCTGTGGCTATGTTGGAATGGAAGGGGGGAACACAGCAGATCACAGACCACCCAAGGCCCTGCCCAGCACCCCACCTTGGCCCCAACCTGTGCCTACCCAGTGCTCTGTCCCAGCTCCCAACCTGGCCCAGCAAGCAGGCCGAGAGTGAGAGGCAGACAGATCCCCGTGGGGACCATAAGGACACTCAGGGGTTCTTCACCCTCTCTCCACACTGCATAGGGGGAGAGGGCGGGGCCCCCACCCGCTATGAGTCCCTCCTGGAGAACCTGGATGACCAGTGTCCAGAGCTGGCAGGTGAGTGTTAGGGTAGAGCCCTGGGGGGAGGGCACATCTTCTTCCCAGCCCCCACCAGTAGGGCTTCCTGGGCCTTCCAGAGGAGCTGCGCTGGCTGTCGGGCCTCCCCCCAAGGGGCCAGGGCCGGAGGAGGTGCATGGGCACACGCCGTGGCCACCGAGAGCAAGGCCCCCCTTCAAGGCCCGGAAGGGTGGGCTCCCTGCTGTCCAGGACTCGCTAGCTGGGGCCAGGAGCCAGGTACGGAGGAGATATGGACACCCAGGGAGACATACCCAAAGTGGGACCCCTTCCTGGGGGACAGACACACTCAATGCCAACTCTACCCATATATACCCCCAAGATAGAACACATTGTATCTAGAGACAGGTCCCCACCACCCCCTGGAGTGTAAGGGCAGGAATGTCCTCAGTGCCCTGGAGATGTGGAATAGGGCCTGGCACACGGTAGGTGCTCAGTGCACAGCTGCCAAATGAACTCAACAAAGGTGGCAGCTCGGTGTGTGACGGAGCGGCCTGCACTGGGTCTGAGGGCCTGCTCCTCCACTCCGACAGGCCCGGGGACCTGCCACACCATAGCCAAGTGGCCAAGCTGGACTGGGACCCAAGGGGGTTGACCGTGACCTTTGCGTTGTGTGATCAGGTGCAGACAGACAGCAGTCCAGCAGGATTCCTCTTGCAGAACCTGGAATTACTGAGAAGTTGCATCAGCAAGAGGGGCAAGGTCACAGACAGGACGTGAGGCTGCTGGGGGCCCCTAAGATGTGGGTGCAGAGAAAGGGATCCAGAGGCAGAGACAAGGGTGGGAGGGGACAGGCATCCCTGAGAAGGGGAGACAACAGGCTTCTCCTAGGATTCCAGCCCCCAGACTCAGATGCCCTTGGGGTCACCTGCTAATGCCTCTAATGCCTCACAACCCCACTTTGGACTGCCCAAGGCAGTCTGACCTTGGTGCAGATTACAACAGAGCTCCTCCCACTCCACCCAGGACGCCCCAACCAAGACACCCGCTTAAGGTGAAGCATTCTTTTAAGGTGAAGCATTGTATACCAGAGTGAGACATCCATCCGTCTCCCCTGACCCCACCTCGGCAGCCAGGGAGCTCCCAGCAGATGGACCAGTGACAGGGCACACAGCAGGCTGTGGTCTAAAATAAACTCTTTTAATTGCACATTTGTGTCTCGGGTTATCTGTGGGATGAGAAACCCCCTCCTCACTCCCAATCCCAGCTACAATCTGGCGTTGTGGTCCAGCTGTCAGTGAGGGGGTGGGGGTGGGTATAGGGCTGGCCCCAGAGTCTGCGTTGGCCTCTTCAGGGCAGGGAGCTCAGACCTGTGGAGGGAGGGGTGGCACAGGTTGTGGTCAGCTTGCAGGTGCAAGAAAAGGGTCTGCCAATCCCCCTCCCCTCCAGGGCCAGGATTGGCTCGCTCACCATGGTTGTACTTGCACTGCTTCAGGACCTCGCTGAAGCCCTCACACAGGGACAGGTCACTCTGAGTGGTTGAGCACTCCAAGAACTGCTTTATCTCGTAGGCACAGGGCCCCCCAATCTGCAGGGGCTGGAGGGGAGTGTGGGCAGGGGCCTGGGGCTATAGTGTAAGAGACCACAGCATCAGCTTAGGGTTGCTAGAGGTGGGAGCTCCTAAGCTGGAGGCCACCTGCCCCTCCCCACAGCCCCAGCTCGGGTGTCCCATGGGTCCCAGGCAGGCTGAGTGACTCAGGGCCAGGCTGCCTCCGCTGCTCCATCAGTAAAACAGGTGAGCCAGCAGCAGCTGATACAGACAGCATTACTCTGCTGCCTCATAATGGGCACACTGGACAGGTGCAGGGGAGGGAGGAGAAGGCTCTAGGAAAGTACTGGGCATGTACACTCGGAGTATGAGCCCCACCCCCGCGAGTTCTAGCACCTTCCTGGCTCAGCCACATTGATCCTCATGACCACTGACCCAGCTTCTAAGCCGAATTTGTCTTAGGGCTGGTGGGGGCCCCAGTGGGGGAGAGGTCATCAGGGAAGGCTGCCCTCTGCCCTCGGGCCCAGGGGCCACTGTGCTGGATCTAAGTGTGGCTCAGGAAATTTAGGTGGGTTAGGTGACCTTAGGTGGGTCTCTGAGCCCCTCGGGCCCTAGATTTCCCATCTTTAAATGGCTAGTTGGTGTTTCTCCCTGAGAGCCTAGGGACCTTGGCCTCAAGGGAGGACTGGGAAGGTGCCTTTAAGTGACACCTTAAAGCTAGTTAGCAAACTGAGGAATAGAACCCTCCTTGGGCAAAGCCCTGGGCTTGCAGCAATTCTGCATACACTCAGATACTTCTCACTGGACACTTCGGCAGCTCCCTGTGTGGCCTTGAGAGAATCCTGCCTTAGTTTCTCCTGGGCCCGCTGCTCACCTGCTGGGCAGCAGGCTGGGCGGGGGCAGGCTCCGAGCCTCCCCCGCTGAAGGCTCCGGTCAGAGCGCTGCCCACGACGTGTCCCACGGCCGAGCCCACGGCTACCCCTGCGGCCGTGGACGCCATCTGAGCCATGAGGCCCGGCTGGCCCGAAGGGGCGGGGGCCGGGGCGGCTGCCGAGGGCGGTGGGTGCGCGGGCGGGTGGGCAGAGTGCGCGGGAGGGCGGCTGCGGGGGCGGGAGGAAGCACCGTCAATCCCGGCCGGACTTCAGACCAGGGGCCCGAGGGGCGTGAAGCTCCTAGAAACGACCCCCCTCCGGGGAAGGTGGGCGACCCGGGTCTTAGACACGTGGTTACTGCACCCCCCTCCCCTCCCCCCGCCAAAATGGCGCAGTAGCAGCCAAGGTCATTCTGCGGACGCCCTTGGGGAACTGCCCACGCTTTCCAAGCCCCCTCCCCACGGTGCCCTTGTGTCCATCACACCTGGCTGGCCGGGCGGCCACGCTGCGGCTCCCCCGAGGCATGGTGGCGGCGGTGGGACGCGGCTGACTTTAGTCAGAGACTGCAGTGGCGCTTCTGTCGCGAGGACAAATGCTGCAGCGCTTCTCACAAGAGGCGCAAGAAGGCGGGGCCTGGGGGCGGGGTCTCAGGACACGCCTCCAACGGGAGGCGATGCTCCCCCAAAGCCCGTCCCGCGTCCACAGTTCCCCCGACCCCCAGACCTTTCCCTTCCAAAAACCGCTGGCCTCGGCGCCGGTCTCAGCCGGAAATAGGACCTTGAGCCCTTCATGCACCTGACCGGAGCGGTGCAGGCCCTGGGGACACAGGCACTGCTGCAAAGCGCTGCGGGCTTAGGCAAGGGCGATAGGGCCAAGTCCTTCCACCACCGAGGAGTGCAGGGAGTGGAGTTGGGGGTTGTCACGAGTCCCGGCAGGGAGAGGAGACAGTCAGGTGACCGGCTGAGGCTTGCCGGGGAGCGGGTGCGCGGCGCCAGGTTGGGCTCCGCTCCCTGCTCGCTCGCACCAGACAGGGTGCTGACCTCCGCATGGCCCCAGGGACTCGCGCGGACTAGAGCGGGAACGAGCGTCCCTGGGGAAGGCCTGGACCGAGCCGTCCCCAGAATCCCGCTAGGGGGCGTCCCACCCCTCTTGGACTCTCCCGGCCAGAAAGTGCGGCTGGCGCGGGCAGCCGAGGAGGGCTGCGCCGGCGGGGTGCGATGAGGACCCCGCGAGACCCTTAACCCCACCGGATCCCGGCGCCCACCTCGCCTGGCTCCCTGGGCGCAGCGCTGGACACTGACGGCGTTTATGCGACTTTCAAGCCTCGTCTCTATCCCAAAGGCCGTGACCTGAGCGCCTAGAGGCGTTTGCGCGGCTCGGGTCAAACCAAGGTCACGTTTGAATCCTGCAGCCTCAGTATTTTAGCACCTTGGTACCTGGCCAAGGTGAGGCTGGGGGCGCGGATTTAGAGCACTTACCTGCGCTTCAGAGACTCGAGGTCGTTATGGTCTTTTCTGGGTGACTTTGCAGTGGGACCCTGCAAAGGGACCCTCCCTCATCACTGTTGGGTGTGCCCGGGGAGGCCGCCTGGTACTGGGATTGTGGGGAAAGCGAAGTCACCAAGAGCAAAAGCATCCGGGAAGGGGGTCGTCTGTCCCTACGCGGGGAGAGGAGGTCCCTCTGTGAGGAGGAGGCCAAAGGGGCAAGGAGAGAGGCGGCTCGGTTATGTGTGTGCGGAGCCGTTCCCGGCCATGCGTACTAGCTGTGAAAGTCATGTGCAAGGTTGTGTTCTTACCACACTTTAATGCTTTCAGCCAGCCTGGGAAGCAGGGCCCTCCGCTGACCCACCTTCAGTCTTCTCCTCACTGAAGTGAGGGCGACCACCCACCTGAGGGTGGCCTCCCAGAGAGGTGAGAGTGTGAAGGATGGGCCATTCTCTCCTGGAAGACACGCCAGGCCTGGTCCAGCAGCTCGTGCAGTTCCTGCCCACCTGTTCCCATTTGCAAAACTGAACCATGCTTCTAGCTCATTGGGGTCCTCCTCCTGCAGGAAGCCCTCTGTGACCAGCACACCTTGCTGGGTGCACTGTTGGCTTGTCATGGTGAGCCCCGGACTGTCACTGGGGGTGGTTGTTACTTCAGCTGCCATGGCTGGTGGCCTGCAGATTCCACAAGGCATGGCCGTGTACCCCTGGAAGCACTCAAGACCATTTAAGGTGTTACACAAATGAATATTTTTATTTAAATAATTATGTATTTTCATATGTATCAGAAAAATGTATAAACAGCTCATCAAACCCATGATTTCTTGGCCAGTATTGGTAAGAT